GGGTGCTTCGCACCCTCCTCCACCCCTGCTCTGATTCAGTCTGAATTTCTGGGGAGATCCCTGTCTGTGTAGTACTAACAGATCATACGTCAATTAGTACCCCGGACTTTTAGACTAAAAAAAAAAAATTAAAAAAAAAAAGTGAATCCCTACCTACCGACCCTAATTTTTTCTGGACTGTAATAGGAAACACAACATTTATTTTGTTAGGCCTTATAAACCAGCCTGGTATGTTCACTTCATGGCTCATATTGTAACATTTCCGGCTATCATGGGGGGCCTTGACCTGTTTTTTATTTTATTTTTTATTTCACCCTGTCGCTTCTGATTTTTTCTGAAAACATCCGACTCCGAGAAACAACAAATTAAATTGGTGTGGCCTTACTGTGGTACATCAGATACTAGTAGGCTAACTAAACAAACAGGAGGTTCCTTCACAAAGGAAACCTATACCTGCAGATACATGATGATCTGGTGGGTAAACAAACCCACAGCTGCACAGGTGAAACAATGGGATACACACTATATCTGTAACTGTGTCTGTATCAATGACAGAGCCAGTATACATTTTTATAACTGCCATTGCAGCTATACAGCAGTAGCTGACAAAAAAGGCCTAGGAAAAAAAAATGTTGTTTCCAGTTTCAGTCCTGAAAATATTAGAGTCGGTGGGTATCTTTTTTTTATTATTTATTTATTTTTTTTTACATTTTAAGACATCAGTGATACCTATATAGGGGTTCAACTTATACAATTTAACAAAGTAAAACTTGTATGAGGACACTTTTATTTTAAATGTCAATGTTAGAAAATCAATTGTACAACATTTTATCACTCAGTGTCAGATCATGGAGCTAGCAAAGGTTGCTAAGGCCACACCAATTTAATTTGTTGGTTCTCGGATTCGCCTCTTCGTTTTTTCTGATTTGCAAAAAAAAAAAAATTCTGGTTCTGAATCAACTGAAAAATGCTCATGTTTTGCTTCCAACAGTTGAGGAAAGTCCTTTTCTTCCTAGTTGTTACTGTTTTCCCATCTATCATTGCAGTGGTTTGATTAAAAGTTCAAAATTCAATCAGGGTTTTTTCTAGAAAAATTAAGTATGAGGGAGCATATCGCAAGCATGACAAGGAACAAAGCGACCAAGGGGGTATTTTTTAAATAAGATTAGCCACTTAGGGTTCAATCTGAAAATTGGTATGAGGGAGCTGGCTGGTTACATGAGGGAGCAGCTCCCTTATTCCCCTGTTTAAAAAAAACCCTGTCAATGTTTGAATTTTAACCCAGGCTGTTGTGTTGACTTCATGGCTCATTTCGTAGCAATTTTAAGCCTACAATAGGATGCCTAAACCTGTTTTTATTTTTATTTTTTTTCGCCCTGTCGCTTCGTATTTTTTCCGAAAAAATCCGAGAACCAACAAATTAAATTGGTGTGGCCTAAGCTTGAAAAATTATGTCCCTTGCAACCCCAAAAAAGTCTAGTGTCTGCGGTTTTTCTTGGGTTGGTCGGGAAACAGGGAACACAACATTCAAGTCTCATTTCAAACATACATTGTACTTCTCAACTGATCAGTTTTTTTTCTTGAAGGCATATTTTCAACTTCTTTTCATAAGATCTTGATTCCCAAATATTTCTTACTCTTAGGTGCAAGCAATACATCTGTGTGACAGTTACTAGTACCATTACAAATAATAATAATAAATCATTTCCATTTCCTCTTTGGGTACTGATGCATCCAATTTCAGGGCAGGAAAACAAAAAATATTCTGGATGAGGAAATCTGTCTGATACTGACATTTACTGCCATTTCTTGTCACATCTTCATCATCATCATTTCATATGTTGAAGAGTTAGAAATTCAAGAGTCTGCACAGCTG